AAAAATCCTAAACCTTGTTCAGTGAAAGTATTCTGTATACATTTATTTATTTATTTATTATTTTGAGACAGAGTTTTGCTTGTTGTCCAGGCTAGAGTGAGTGCCGTGGCATCAGCCTAGCTCACAGCAACCTCAAACGCCTGGGCTCGAGCGATCCTGCCTCAGCCTCCGAGTAGCTGGGACTACAGGCATGCGCCACCATGCCTGGCTAATTTTTTATATATATATATCAGTTGGCCAATTAATTTCTTTCTATTTATAGTAGAGACGGGGTCTCGCTCTTCCAGGCTGGTTTTGAACTCCTGACCTTGAGCAATCCGCCTGCCTCGGCCTCCCAGAGAGCTAGGATTACAGGCTGTATACGATTTCTGAATTTGCAGAAACCGGTCTCTTAGATCACCTTTGGGGTGCAACTAAGAGTTCTGCATTTTATGTCCCACATTTCTTTCTTACCCAGCCCTGTATCTTTGCAATGGCATAAATAAGCATAAAATGTCCATCTAAAACATTGAACCTATTCAGCAGGAAGTAGCTTGATGACTGTGTCACCTCTCCTCCCATAGATAAGGAAGAGTAAAATTGACAGTGGGGAATATGTAACAGAGAGAACAGCTTGAAAATAAAGGGTAAAAATGTTTTCTATCTTTTTAAAACCTCCTTCACTCTTTTTGGAAATTGAAACCTGCATCCCTGCCTCAGGCCAGTGGTGGGGAGGGGTAGGGAGATGTCCTTTGCTCTTTGTGCCACAGGAGATGGCTCAACAGAACTATCCCGGCAGAGGTCAAGGGATTATCTTTGCCAAAGATGGGAGGGATCAGAATCATCAACTATAATTAAACAGCAAATAGCCTGTAGCTGAAAACCCTTCCCTTAAAAGCTTTGTATTTCTGCGTATAGTTAGGAAAATCAGTACACTAAGTCAGTAGTTTGCCATTTTCGTCATTTGCTGGCAAATTAATAAATCTCCCTCTCCTTCTTCTCAGACCACTTGTCCTTGTTCTTCTGATGTGACCTCGGGGACAAGTGCTGAACTTCCCATACCAGTCACAGAATACAAAATGGCTTTAACCACCAGACAACTAAGGAAATACTAACTCAACAATCTAAATACTTTCTGTTTAAAATCATGGTTTTTAATTTTTTTTTTTTTTTATATAGGATCTTCACTCTGTCTCTCAGGCTGGAGTGCAATGGTGCAATGACAGCTCATTACAACCTCAAACTCCTGGCTCCAGTGATCCTCCTGCCTCAGCCTCCCAAGTAGCAAGGACTATGGGTGTGTGCATACTATCACACCTGGATGTTTTAAAAATTTTTTGTAGAGATGGGATCTCACTTCGTTGCACAGGCTGATCTTGAACTCCCAGCCTCAAGTGATCCTCCTGCCTCAGCCTCCTAAAATGCTAGGGTAACAGGCATGAGCTACTACACCCAGCCAATAGTTTTAAATTCTTAAAGGAATTATATTGATCATTTTATTGACAATTAGAGGAAATTAGCCCATTTAGACTCCCAGATAAATGTCTTCAGCCTCTCTGGCATCTCTGCTCAGACGTCTATTAGACACCACCAATCTAACTGGCCCAAACTAAACTGCGAGTCTGTTCTTCCCATCTTCCATGTCATCTTCTTGACAGCAGGAAGTTTGTTTTGTTCACTGCTGTCTCCTATACTTGGAATGATCCTGGCCCATGGCAGGCACTCAGTGTTTGTTGAATGAAGGAGTGATTAACTATTTCTATGAATGTTATTTAAAATAAAACAAAATTCTTACTTCCCTTCAACAAAGGGTCACTCATCAACTAGTTGGCTTTTCTTAAGATTTTACTTTTTCTTCCTTTCACATGTTTACACAGTGATCATACAAAACATTCAAAATTCTGTTTTGAAGAATATGATGATGACATGAGTTCACTTCCTGTAATGGGCCTATTTCCAAGGACCAGCTAATAACCAGAACCAACTCTGTTTTACTGATAGGCAAATGACACTTCATTGAGTAGTCACAAATCTCCATTTACTTGGCAGATGTATTTAATGAAGAAAATCTGGCTGGGCGTGGTGGCTCACGCCTGTAATCCTAGCTCTCTGGGAGGCCGAGACGGGCTGATTGCTCAAGGTCAGGAGTTCGAAACCAGCCTGAGCAAGAGGGAGACCTCGTCTCTACTATAAATAGAAAGAAATTAATTGGCCAACTAATATATATAGAAAAAATTAGCCGGGCATGGTGGCGCATGCCTGTAGTCCCAGCTACTCGGGAGGCTGAGGCAGGAGGATCGCTTGAGCCCAGGAGTTTGAGGTTGCTGTGAGCTAGGCTGACGCCATGGCACTCACTCTAGCCTGGGCAACAAAAGTGAGACTCTGTCTCAAAAAAAAATAAATAAATAAATTAAAAAAAATGGCAATGGTTAATCTTCATGAGCTTGGATTTGGCAATTGCTTCTGAGGTTAAACACTGAAAGTACAAGTAACAAAGGAAAATAGATCAATTGGACTTTGATAACATTTAAAGGGTTTATGCAAAAAAGGTCACTATCAAAAGAGTGAAAAGACAACCTACAGAATGGGAAACAATGTCTGCAAATCATGTATCTGACAAGGTTCTAGTGTACATAATGTATAAAGAACTTTTACAACTCAATAACAAAAAGACACTCCAGCTAAAAATTGGGCAAAGGACTTGAAAAGACATTTCTCCAAAGAAGACATACAAATGGCCAAAAAATACATGAAAATATGCTCAATATCATTAGTCATTAGAGAAATGCAAACCAAATCCACAATGAGATACTACTTCACACCCACTAAGGTGGTTAAAACTTAAAAAACAGGCAAACCCAATTGTTGATGTAGAGAAATTGTAACCCTAGTACATTGCTGGTGGGAATGCAAAATGGTGCAGCTGCTGTGAAAAACAGATTGGCAGTTCCTCAAGTTTAAATATAGAATTACTGTACAGCAATTCCACTTGTAGGTACACACTCAAAAAAACTGAAAACAGATGTTCACACAAAACTGTTAATGAACCCATAAGGGGGTGTTCACTGTTGCTTGCTGCACAGAAAGCCAGTTACAGAGACAATGAGGATTGTCAAGGAAGAAAGGCTTTATTACAGTAGAGGCCATCTACGGGAAGGGGTGGTATGGACTGCCTCAAATCTGCCTCCCCACCAACAGGGTCAGAGGATTTTTCTGAGGCAAAATTAATAATGCATGAGGGGAGTGAGTGTGTTTGGGGTGCAGTGCAGGGCATGCAAGAGCAGCTAGTACATACATCCTATGAACAAAAAATGGCAGATAAGTCCCTCCCAGGGCAGGGATTTTAATATTATAATGAGCTAGGGTTTAATATTGCTCATTTTTCAGCCTTGTTCTCAGGCTCAGTGGGTCTTTGGGCAAGGTCTGTGGTGGAGTGTAGCTTATCTTGGCTCCTCCAAACAAACAGGTGGTGTGAGGCTTTGTAATTATCTCATGGCTGCAAGGAGGTTCTGCCATTTCTGGGGAAGAAACTCAGAAGAGAATGCATTAGTGTTATAGAAAGTTACAAAGTTCCGGTCAACAAATCTTACTGGCCTGGTTACTGCAAGGAAAAAAACCTATTTAAGATGTTTTCTTGCTTATAGAGCTGGTTAGAAAACTGTACAGGAATGTTCATAGCAGCACAATTCATAAGAGTGAAAATGTGGAAGAGTGAAGGGTTGGTGGAAACAACTTATGCCCATTATTTGACGAATGAATAAACAAAATTTGGTATATGGTAAACCATGAAAACAATATGCTAGTCAGAAAAGGTCACATATTGTATGAAGCTATGTCTGTGAAATGTTCAGAATATTCAAGTCCATAGAGACAGAAAGCAGATTAGTAGTTGCCAAAGGTTGGAAGAAGGAGGGAATCAGAAGTGACTGTTTAATTGGTACAGGTTTTCTTTTTGACATGATGAAAGTTTTCAGAACACTTTTGGAAACTATCTCATGGTGATGGTTGTACAACATTGTTATTGGTTGAAATGCCACAGAACTTAAAATAGATAAAATGGTAAATTTTAGGTTATGTGTATTTTACCACAGCAAAAATAATAATAATAATAATAATAATGAACAGATTGGGGGAAAGCCCCAAATGACAGGATTATTAGAATAAATTGTATAAATCCACAACCTTAAAGGAAAGTTTTTACATGCTTATTAACTGATGCATTAAGTAGACAGCAAACAGGGATATAATTATTGCAGCAATAAATTTCCGGCTAATGGGCTTATATGCAACCCTGTATTTGTCTTATAGAATACAAAATCTTTTTCAGGACACGTAGAATAGTTACAAAAATTGACAAAACAAATCTCAACAAATACCTTAGAATCAGTAACTTCCCAATCATATGTTCTTACTAAAATTTAAGTTGCAAATCAATAATGAAAAGATAATTTAAAAACAAAAGGCAATAAGCAAAATAAAGAGAAAGGGAAACGATCCAGATCCAAATGATTCTTCTTTCCAAACAAGTCAGACCTAAAAATGTGTCACCTCAGTACAAAAAGAACATTATCAGGCGGTGTATTTTAATAATAGTTAAACTTGGTGTGGGGTTTATGACTGCAAATAGCATGAGTTAGTAGTAAAAGGTGTAACTGGACGAAGACCTTTTTAAGGACCCTATACCCTCCACTATTTGAGTTCTTAGTCATAACTCTTACAGACGTCAACTTTCTCACTGTTCTTCAGAAGCAGGTGAGATGCATTAATTGCTTTGCTCAGGTTTCTCTCAACTGTTACTGAACAATATTCAAAGCGCTAAGACCAGGATTGGGTCTTATCCTCGATAAGCTTACGAACAGTTTGACTTTAAAAAAGGAACCGCTTAAAACAATTAAATCCGTACCCTGGTGGGCTATTTAGCGGAAGGGGGTCCGCTTTTCACGGTAGCCGGCTACCACGGAGAGCGAGCTTGGCTTCCCACAGAGTTTAAAGCCCGCCAAAGTTCCAGTCTCCGAATCCGTCTCCGTTTCGAGCTACGTGGGCCTCAGTAGGTTCCAAACCTCCGAGCTGTCCCTAGAGACCTGGGGGCGGAAACCCCACCCTGTGCGGAGGCGGGGCCCAAGGCGAACGCGCCGCATACCTGCCACCCTCCACCCCGCACTGGCAGGAAGCCCGGCCGGACGATTACCCCACCGCCTGCTTGCGCCTGCAGAGACCGACGCCCGCCAGCCTGGAGCCTAGGCTGGTTCCTGCCCGGCGATCTGCGATCGATTGATAGTGCCTGCACGGTGCGCGCGGAGCTCGACTGGCTTCGCCTGCGAGGGGAGGAGCTACCACCGCTGCCGCCGCGGCGGGCTTGGTTTGTGAGGAAGGGCCTAGGCCCGGGCCTGCGGTGGTAGGGCTTGCAGAGCCAGGGCTCGCTTACTGCCGTCTCCTCTGCCCTAGCTTGGCCCACCTCCTTCCCAGCGGGCTGGGCGCGGGGACGACCTGCCGGAGCCATGGAGGACGAGGTGGTCCGCATCGCCAAGAAGATGGACAAGATGGTGCAGAAGAAGAACGCGGTGAGCGCGGCGGGCGGCGCGGGCCGGGAGGGAGGCCGGGCGGTGGGCCGGGTCGGGCCGGCCAGAGGGGCGTCCCCAGACCCCGGCCCCTGCCCCGTTCCCTGCAGCCGTCCCACGCCGGGAGCCGGGCCGGCAGTGCCCGCGTCCCCCGGGACGGCGTCCAGGCCGAGGGCAGGCGGGCCCCGCGGCCACCAGCGATAGGACCCGTTCTTGGTATTTCGAGGTCCCTCCTTGTTGGTACAGCGTGATAAGTCGAGTAGGGAATTAGGGCACGCTCTCCTTTCATTTTAAACTTTCGTAGTAGTAAAACCTCGCTACTTCAGCTTAAGAGTTGAAGAGTGTAGAAAGCTCTCGCTATTTGAAAGAATGCACTCTTTTCCGTGATCGGTGGCTAACAACTAGAAATAGCACCAAATAGAGGTTTGTCATCGGCTTTAGACATCAGGCCGATAAAATGAAATGTAAAATTTCTGGATCTTATTTTTGAAGAAGGCTGAATAACTATCCACTTGGGTATCTCAACTACACTACGTACTATGGCAGTCTCTTGGCGAGTTGCTAAACGTTTTTTAAAAAGTTGAACTTGTCAGCTCGTAATGTACAAAAGAACCGTGCCTGAAGCACACGCAGTAAGTAGCGTGTTCTTGGAGATGGATTGGACAGATGTCATTGCTGGATACTGAGTGGTTTACAGTTAATACCTGTAGCATTTTCTTGTTATTGATACGTGTTTATGTGAATGTATCCTCTTATGGTTTGTTCGAGGTCGTCATGCGACCACTTTCTGGTTTGTCTTGTGTATGTCACTTTCAATCCCTTGCTTCAGATTCATTTGTTTTCAGCTAAACTTTTATGATTGTCTTCACCTGATTTGTTCCACTATATTTCACCGTCAATGAACCTGAAATAATTTACTACCATCTATGAAATAAGTTCCACATCAAACTAATGTGAAAAGGGATGCTCTGATTTGTGCCACACTGTAGAGTTACAAAGCATCTGTCCAGAATTCTTTTGTGACTCACAACAAAGCTGTGGGTAAAGTGTATCCATTTTACAGATTAAGAGACTGAATCAAACAGATTAAGTACTCTGGCTTAAATTAAGTACTATGTAGTTTGGACAAAGCCAGAGCCAGGTTTACTACTGGACAGCATGCTTTCCATGTGACAGCCATATCGGGAATGAGTGTTAACATTAAATGCTTAAGACTTCAGATATCTCTGTTTCTTTTCTTTTAACAAATGCATTGCTCAGCATTTAATTTTATACCCTCCCTGTTAATATGTATTTGCAATTTTGCCTTTTAAATTTTTAAATAATTTCCTGTGCCATTTATTTTTCCTATTGATACAGCCCTTTCATTCCCCATGGCAGGTGATGTGTTATGGTATTTGATAGGTTGAACATTTCTGTTGTTTTGTTTAAAACTGGAAAATTTTCCTCTCTGCCTGAAGATCTCCAGACTCTCATAGTAGAAGCTCCCAGGGAAAAAAGTCATTTGGTGATTTTTTTTCCTCTAATTTAAGCTATAATGCATGTCCTTTAATCATATAAAGCTTTATTATTTTTTTTTCTTATTTTTTTGACAGTTCTGATAGAGATTACATATAAAGCTTTAGGTGTTTGTCTCTTTCCTTCTTTCCTTGTAATAGCTATTTCTTAAATTGAGTAATTCCTTAGTGGGCAAGTATGGAAAAGATAAGTATGTGTCTACAGTTCTCAAATTACCAACAGATTTTCAGATCTTTAGTAATGTGTCTGGCAGATAATGACCAGAAACTCCACAGATAATCCTCAAATCTAAGTTTTCTGTTAGTTCAAAACTTTGCCAATATGAAAACTTACCCCCCCCAAAAAGAAAAGTAAAACTGACTGGCTCTTTTACTTTTTTCCTTCGTTTTCATTTTCCTGTCTTCTAGAAATTCAAACAGGCTGATGAAATACAGAGAAAGGGAAATGGTCAGAATGACACTCCTTCCCTCTCCTGGAAGTACATAATTAACCCATAAATAGCTTTCTGAGTGTTCAATAATTTAACCAAAGTTGTTTTGGGGGTTGTAGGATTATAGATTTGTTTCTTTTTTTCTGTGGTTTTTAAATTTTCTCTCAGTTATTTTAAAAATAATATTTCTATAATATGAAAACAAACTTTGAAAAATAATAGTTGTCACCTTAATTGACAGACTTAAGTGCTGTTATTGGATATCATTTTGTTTTAACAAAACTGTAGGTGTACCATTTATTGAGTCAGATATTCTGCTAAGCACTTATCTACTTTATCCCATTTATTTCTCAGACAGCTTTGCAAGACAAAAATAAACTAAGTTTGTAGAAAGTTAAATGAATTGTCCTAAGCCAAATAGCCAAGTGACCAAATGAAGATGTGAATCTACATCTGTTTTGCTCCAAAGCTAGTGCTACTATGTTAAGCTACCCTGTTTCTCTAGAAGACTCTTGCATCTACTTTTGAGTCAAGCCTGGGTACAAGTAAGTGAATGTAAAACCAGGAAATAAGGGTCCATATTTGATGTTCTGGGGCAGGCAGGTTTCCCTTAATACTCAGGTCAATATCTTGATCCTGGTACTACCCAGAATGTTGTCCCATGTGTGTACTTGATCTCAGACAGTACTCTTAGTGTAGTGTACAAGTGCACGTTTCCCAGCCACGATGAACCAAAGGTAGTTCCAAATTTTTAGGTATTAGTTGATTTTTACTTAAGCTTTTTTCTTGTCATTTTGACTTGATGTCAAGAGCCAAGTTTGACTCCTAATGTGGATCCACATCCTGGCTCTTCTGAACTCTAGCTGTGTGATCTTGGGCAAGTTCTTTAACATCGCTCACATTTTTCTTGATTGCAAATTGGAGATAATTTAGTAAAGATTAGGTGAATATAAAATGCTTTCTAGTGTTTAGGATGTAGTAAGAGCTAAAAAACAATCGGGAGTTGTCTTTGTAAAGGATTTTTCTAAAAGGAGTGAGGCAAGAACTTAACATTTTGAAGCTCATGAATAGATTTTGTGGATGGCCATGAGGTTTATTTTTTTCATTAAAGGCTCAAGGCTGAGTGGAATTAAATCACAGGGAGAGAAATTGGATTACATTTTAAAATTTCCTAGGAGCTGGGATACCTTAAATGTTTACATCTCTGGCACGGTGGCTGGTGGCTCATGCCTGTAATTCCCAGCAGTGTGGGGGACCCAGGTGGGAGCATTGCCTGAGGCCAGGTGTGCAACATCAGCCTGGGTAACATATTTAGTAAGACCCCTGTCTCTACAAAATATAAAATACATTAAAATCAGCTGAGCATGGTGGTGCCAGCCTGTACTATAGACCCAGCTACTTGGGAGGCTGAGGTGAGATAGTCGCTTAAGCTCAGGAGTTCAAGGTTGCAGTGAGCTGTGATCGCATCACTGCACTCCAGCCTGGGTGACAGAGCGAGACCCTGTCTCTAAAAAAAAAAAAAATTTACATTTCTCAGTCTTATTATACCTGGGTTAAAACAGCCACACAAAACTTTCTATCTATATCAGAGTTAGATTAGTTAACATAAATCAAAATTTAGAATGACTACACAATTTCTTAATTGCTTTATTGAGATAATACAATAAAATTCACTCTTCTAAAGTCCAGTTGACTTTTGAATAATGCTGGGAATTAGGGACACTGTCCTGAGCCAAAAATCTGAGTATAACTTTTGACTCCTCCAAAACTTAATTACTAATAGCCTACTGCTGACTAGAAGCCTTACCAATAATATAAACAGTAGATTAACACATATTTTGTACATTATATGTATTATATACTGTATTCTTACAGTAAGATAAGCTAGAGAAAAGATGTTATTAAGAAAATCATAAGGAAGAGACAATGTATTTACTATATATTAAGTGTAATTGGATCGTCATAAAGGTCTTCATCTTTACTTTGAGTGGGCTGAGGACAAGGAGGAGGAGGAGTTGGTCTTGCTGTCTAAAGGGTGGCAGAGGTGGAAGAGAATCCTCATATAAGTGGATCCTCACAGTTTAAACCTGTGTTGTTCAAGAGTCAACTGTTAATTCAGTGGGTTTTAGTATTTACAGATCTGTCCAACTATTACCATTGTCTAATTCTAAAACATTTTTATCACTCCAGAAAGAAACCCTGTACCCCTTAAGCATTCAATCCCCATTTAACCCTTTCAGCCCCCACCAAGCCCTTAGACTGCCCTGACAACGACTGATATACTTTCTGTCTCTGTTTGCCTGTTCTGGAAATTGTATATCAGTGGATCATATAATATGTGATTTTTTTTTATGACTGTCTTCTTTCACTTAGTAATAATTTTTTTTTTTTCCGAGACAGAATCTCACTCTGTTGCCCGGGCTAAAGTGCTGTGGTGTCAGCCTACCTTGCAGCAGCCTCAAACTCCTGGGCTCAAGCGATCCTCCTGCCTCAACCTGCTGAGTAGCTGGGACTACAGGCATGTGCCACCATGCCCGGCTAATTTTTTTTATATATATATATATGTATATATAGTAATATATCTATATATATATAATTTTTTTTTTAGTTGTCCAGCTAATTTCTTTCTTTTTTTTTTTTTTTAGTAGAGACGGCAGCCTCGCTCTTGCTCGGGCTGGTCTTGAACTCCTGACCTTGAGCGATCCTCCTGCCTTGACCTCCTAGAGTGCTAGGATTACAGGCATGAGCCACCACGCCCAGCTAGTAATAATGTTTTAAAGGTTAATTCATGTTATGTGTTAGTATTTCATTCCTTTTATATTG